GCTGGTTCACTCTCCAAATGCCCTCAAAGAGCTGGGACTGGGTCAGGCCAAAGCCAGGAACCACATGAGTGGGCAGGGAACCAAGTACTTGGACTACTGCTTGCTTCCTCTAAGGCACATTAGTAGGAAACTGGATCTAAAATGGAAAAATGAATCTTAGTGAAGAATGGGATGAGAGAGGGAGTAGGAGGTGGGATGGTTTGGGGGTGGGAGGGTGGGAATGGGGAGAAACTGCTATATTCCCAAAGTATACCTCTGGATTTTATATTTATTAAATAAAAACTTTCTGTAAAATAATAAAATAGAGGTAGGACGTGAGCCAACACTCTGATAATAGTATGTAAGAATTCCCAAGTGTCAGCTTAACCCACTGTGCCACACCTGCTTCTGTACTATATTTTCCCTCTCTATGTGTGTGCGTTATATTTGAGTATATCTTGAAACATAAGAACCCCAAAAAGTTAGTAAAATAACAAAATAACTTATATACATAGAAAGATATCAAGCTAAAATATGTCAAGGAATCCATCACATTGATTTGCACCTTGATGTAATTATCTTCAAACTCATTTGCCTATCCCATCAATAAACTTTAATCACATATCTGGATATATGTGAGTTATTTGTTTACTTGAAATGTTTATGGTTTACTACTGTGAAAATTGTATTTTGTACCCATTTTAGACCAGAAAATATGTTAAAAAACCACAATATAGGGCCGGCACCGTGGCTCACTTGGTTAATCCTCTGCCTGCGGTGCCGGCATCCCATATGGGCACTGGATACTAGTCCCAGTTGCTCCTCTTCCAGTCCAGCTCTCTGCTGTGGCCCAGGAGTGCAGTGGAGGATGGCCCAAGTGCTTGGGCCTTGCCACCCGCATGGGAGACCAGGAGGAAGCACCTGACTCCTGGCTTCGGATCAGCGCAGTGCGGCTATTTGGGGGGTGAAGCAACAGAGGGAAGACCTTTCTCTCTGTCTCACTCACTGTCTAACTCTGCCTGTCAGATAAAAAAACCCACACAATATCAAAATGAAATTGATTCTACTAATAGTATGTAACAATTAAGAACTAATATGCACGGTTCTTTTGAAAGTAATTTAAAGCTTTGTGTTACATAACCTGCAGCCTGCTCTTTTGTCTTGGTTTTAATACTTGCCATTGATAGAGTGATCAACCATCCCTGCTTGCCTAGGACTCCTTGATAGGTTTCCCTGGATGTGAAACTTGTTAGTGTTGTCAATCCTGGGAAAATTGGGATTCTCATCATATTTTAAAAGCATATATTCCATAACTATATAGGAGGATTTCATAAAGTTGGAAAATGGAATTAAAAGACAAATGTAAAAAATATAAGCATTATTTCTCAACTTAAATCCTAACAAGTTCCAGACTTGATAAGTATAGAAGCCACTTTGTCCAATCCTAAAGAGCTAAGGGTCCTGGGAATCTAACCATGTCAATGAATCCTTAATTAGATTGTTACCTGGAGAAAAATGGATGCCCTGAGAGATTTTTTTAAACTAGGAAACAGAATTGAATCAGAAGGAATCAAATCAGGACTGTAAGGTGGATGCCTAAATATTCCGCAAGGAGTACTCACAAAACTGCCCTCATTTGATCAGAATACTGAGTGGTGGCATTGCTGTAGTGGAGAAGGACCCTAGTGAAGATTTCTTAGGTGTTTTTCTGCTAAAGTTTTGGGTAACTTTCTTGAAACACTCTTCTAATAAGCAGATGTTACCGTTCTTTGGCCTTCCAGAAAGTCAACAAGCAGAATACCTTGAGCATCCAAAAAAACCTTATGCCAAGACCTTTGTTCTTGTTCAGTACACTTTTGCTTTATTTTTAATGTGTTTTTGAAAGGCACAGCAACACACAGAGGAGATACACACACACACAAAAATACACATATACACAAAGAGAGAAAGACATCTTCCATCTGCTGATTCACTCACGAAATGCTTGAAGCAGACAGATCTGGGCAGGAACGCAGGTGCCAGCAACATAATCCTGCTATTCCACATGGGTTACAGGGGCCCAAGTACTTGCATTTTCTTCTGCCAGCTTCCCAGGCATACTAGCAGGAAGCTGGAGCAGAAGCAGGGTAGCCAGGACTTGAACTGGTACTCATATATGGCATGCCAGCATCTCAAGTGTGGCTTAACCCACTGTGCCACAGTCTTGTCCCTGCTTTGGCTTTGATTGGATCACTTCCACCTCTGGGAAGCCAATGCTTTGGCTTTGCTTTGACTTTAGAATCACACTGGTAAAACCATGTTCCATCTCTCATTTCAGTTCTCCCACAAAATGCTTTGGAATCTTAAACCCATTTGTTTAAAATTTCCTTTTTTTAAGTAGGAATACTACCATAAATAGTTTTTTTTTTAAACTTTTATTTAATGAATATAAATTTCCAAAGTACGGCCTATGGATTACAATGGCTTCCCCCCCCCCACAACGTCCCTCCCACCCGCAACCCTCCCCTTTCCCATTCCCTCTCCCCTTCCATTCACATGAGGATTCATTTTCAATTCTCTTTATATACAGAAGATCAGTTTAGCATACATTAAGTAAAGATTTCAACAGTTTGCTGCCACACAGAAACATAAAGTGAAAAATAATAGATGATTTTTTAAATGATGATGAAATCAGATCAGACCTATTGTCATGTTTAATCCCAGTGAGAGTCAAGTTGGGAATTGCTAATTTCTTCTTTTTTTTTTTTAACAGAAGATCAGTTTAGTATACATTAAGTAAAGATTTCAACAGTTTGCACCCCCATAGAAACACAAAGCGAAATATACTGTTTGAGTACTCGTTATAGCATTAAGCCTCAATGTACATACAGCACATTAAGGACAGAGATCCTACATGAGGAGTAAGTGCACAGTGACTCCTGTTGTTGACTTTACAAATTGACACTCCTGTTCATGGCATCAGCAATCTCCCCATGCACCAGTCATGAGTTTCCAAGGCCATGGAAGCCCCCTGAGTTCTCGACTCTTATCTTGTTTAGACAAGGTCATAGTCAAAGTGGAGGTTCTCTCCTCCCTTCAGAGAAAGGTACCTCCTTCTTTGAAGACCTGTTCTTTCCACTGGAATCTCACTCACAGAGATCTTTCATTTAGGTTTTTTTTTTTTTTTTTTTTTGCCAGAGTGCCTTGGCTTTCCATGCCTGAAATACTCTCATGGGCTTTTCAGCCAGATTTCCATTGGAAGCTCTGTCTGTAGCTCTGTCTGAGTGCAACAGTTTTGGCACCCACCAAGAAGAAACTTGCTCCAATTTAATTTTTTAGTGAGGATTCTCTAGGCTGAGCCAGTTTAGATGTCTCTGGTGTTGGCTATTTTTCCTGCTGTTGGCTATGAGTCCTCTTCATTGCGGGCACAACAAGATTAATATTTCATCCAATTTGTTGTGGATGGTTTGCTGTTTTATCTTCAGCAGCATCTCAACCCTTCTTTAAAATGAGCTCTCCATTCTAAACTGCTGGTTTCTTTGGGGGCATTTTCCCCATTAGTTTTTCATTTGGCATCCATGATTCCCACCCAAGTTTCACTATCAGTTGGAAGATTGCTTTTGCATCAATTTGAGCAGAATTCACATTGCTTTTTTCAAAGTGATATTTTATCCTTTTTCGAGCCTCAAACTGGATCCTAGCTAGACACATTATAACAAGTTGGTATGAATATATTGTGGCCCATGCATAATTTTTTGAGGCCCATGCATAATTTTTTTCATGTACATTTTGAATCCTTCTCACATGGGAATAAATTGAAGAAATGTTTGTTGACTGAGCTTGCTAAATCTTGATACTCAGTTTTTAGCATCAGCCATCAAGTATGGAAGGGTTTTAGTAATTCAGCTGTAGAATTTTCATTTTCTCTTAAGATAATTAGTTGTTCTTGGAAATGAACAAATGAGTAAAACCACTACCTGTGAGCTGGCATCTCATTTGGATACCAGTTCACGTTCCAGCTGCTCCACTTCTGATCCAGCTCCCTGCTGATGTGTCTGAGAAAGCAGCAGAGGATGGCCAAGTGCTTGGGCCTCTGCACACATGTGGGAGACCTGGAAGAAGCTCCTGACTCCTGGCTTTGTTCTGGCCTCGCCCTGGCAGTTACAGCCATTTGGGGAGTGAACCAGCAGATAGAAGATTCTCTCTCTCTCTCTCTTTCTCTTTCTCTCAAATCAATAAAAATAAATCTTTAAGCAAAGTATTGCATATTTGTGTTTTCAAAAATGAGTTCAAAGTTGAAAGAAACCGTTCTTTTGGAAACATTTCAAATTGGGAAATTTTGTTTTGTATTTTTCACAAGTTTTTATTAGTTGTCATGCATTATTTGTGGCCATAAAATTTTGCAAATGATGTACATATCTGCATATCTGTTTTCTCAGTCTTTGTTAGGTGATGTGTGCCTTACTTCAGGCTTTGCACTGAGTGTGCCTGATGAATCTCTTGGTTCGTGGAGAGAGGTTCTACTGCCTTTTCTGTGCTTGTACCTGTTTTTTTCAGTCTGTGGTTTCTTTGCAGGAATTTTTGAAGTGGTTTATCCATTCTAGGATGAAGAGTTTGGGTAAAATTAATGCTATCATAAGTGAGCACTTTAGGTTGTAGTAGAAGCTGATAAAGCAAAAGTAGGTCGGCATCTTGATTTTGGTGTGGAGCAAGCCTCTTCCTGTCAGCCAGCTCCCATGTGACTGTCAGACTTGGGAACCAGTTAGGTAGAGCATTGTGTCCACTGTAATATTAATAAAGTGTGATTAAAGCTTGTTTTGTCTTATGCTGTAGCCCACAAATGGTTAAGACGGTAATAAAAGATTCCTCCTACATCTGAATGCATTGTGGTGAGCCCCTCTGGCACCCACTGGAAGGTGCTGGCTGCTGTGTGTTGTACAGGGATGGTCATGGCTTTTCTTCCTGTAAACAGAAACATTAATTTTCAGTGTTTCAAACAAGTACCCAGAAATATGGCTTAAATCACTTTTTCTGTATTCCAGGAGCAAGCTGAAGAAGAGAAGCCTGTGGCTGGCGCGCCCTCTTTGAGTCATGGTAATCATCACCATCTGTTAGTTTTAGTTCTCAGTGAATATCTTTAAAGTGAGAGATTTACTAGATTGTGTTGATTGTTTGGGGTTTAATTTAAATATATGATAATACTACCTATAATTCATAGTGTTTTATGTACTCTTCTCTAGACCTTAGCAGAATTATATAAGGGTTTCAAATATGAGGAGTCTTCAAAAAGTTAATGGAAAATATGTATTATGAAAAAAACTGCATGGATTTCAAGTTTCTTTGCACCAAAATAAACTTCTAATAACATTTTTGTTAACTTTTTTAAGTCTCCACCTGTCTATATCAAGAAAAAATATAACACTGTTAGTTCATTTATTTCCCTTTTAAAAAAAAGCTTTCAGGAAAACAACTTCTGATTTATAAATTCTCTGTGAGCAAGAAAGCAAGATATGCTACTTGGTTCATTTATAATTCTTTGCTTAAGCTTTTCCCAGATTAGTTTAATCTGATTGTATTCATACTTTCTGAGTAAAGCTCTTTGTCAGAAGAGATTGTACTTTTAATCTAGGATTCATATACCTCATTATGACTGTCAATACATCAATAAGTTTTAGATATCAGCCTTTTAGTATTCAGCTAATTCTCTGATGCCTTAACTTTAAATCAACAAATGCAGATGTTGTTTCCACATATTGTATGATTATTGCTATGTAAACCGATGACTGTTACTAATATCCCATGAAATGTGGTTGAAAATCCCACATATGTGCTATTCTTAATAAGGAAGCATGAAAATTGGTAATACTCCTCTAATAAACTTTTATAGTACTTTATTTATTAAGCTTTTTTATGCTTTTAAAAGTGGAACAACAAAAATACTTTTAAAAATCACAAGTTCTTAAGAATTGACATTTTTAAAGATCATTTTATGCTTTTTTAAACTTTTATTTAATAAACATAAATTTCCAAAGTACAGCTTATGGATTACAATGGCTTCCCCCTCTCCCATAACTTCCCTCCCACCCACAACCCTCCCATCTCCCGCTCCCTCTCCCATTCCATTCACAAGATTCATTTTCAATTATAAAGATCATTTTAGATTACCTCATTTTAGGACACAATCATAAAAATTTGTGATTCTCTGCCTTAATGATTTAAAAAATGAAAGTTTTTTCTTTTATAAGGAACACACTATATTCTGCTTTAAACTGCTAGTCTTCCCTTGCTGCCATCCCAAACTTGTCATGTTCTTGCTGAAAAAGCAAAATCTAATGCTGCACTTTGATAATTGCATAACCTGATGTTCAGCTCCATTGAAAGATACTTCAGTTATGCAACCCTGGGATTTTAGACATAAATTTGGACTGTACCTGGCCTGAACAGCAGGGGTTTTTTAAATGATTTTTTTCTTCTCAGAGAGAGGTTGTGATTTATGATGCTATTTCTCCCCCCGCAGCTGTATTTGTACACTAATGCAAATTGTTTTAGGTTCTCTTATTCTGTGCTTGAAGCATTGACTCTAGGAAAAAAAGAAAAAAAAGACTTAGATCAGCAATTTAAAATTGTTCAGTCATCCAAAGAAAGATTCCTTGCTAATTTAGTAGTTATGGCTTTGTAATAACCAGGTATATGTTTATCTCTTTTTAATAGACAGTAATCTTTGCTGTTGTTGTTCTTCGATTGCTGGAGTTTGTTTTTTTATAGGGAATGGAATATTCTCAAAGGTATCACACAGGTTTATTCTGCTGCAGATTTGAGGATGTTACTGTTTCTGTTTTTACCAGATATAGAGCATAACTAAAGGTTTAGAAAAAGGATGAGATAATGTAGTTTGTGTATATAGATGCTACCAATGTCTAGTTGTAGTGAAAATATTTGAGGGAATTTTGAAATAATTTACGTGTTTACCATAATTCTCCAAGTTGCCTGTTGAATCGTTCCTATAGTTTGTGGAAATAGTTTAATTCTTCCTTTGGATTGCTTACGAAATAGAAGAGATGTAGTCACTTACCTTACCTACCATATGCCTCACAAGTAATAACAAAAGAAAAATGAAAATTGTGTGTGTTCACAAGTTTACTTATATGTGAACAGAAAATTATATTGAGAAACAATTATTAGTAGTAATTTTATAACAAGCATTGGACACCATCAAAAAATAATTTACTGAATGCTCAAACTGTGTCACTAACCCTGAGGCCTTTCTTACAGGTAATGAAACTTTGAGAGGCCATTTGAATTGTTTAGAGTAAACTCAACTAGTTAGTGGTGGAGCCAGGGTTTTAACCCATAACCAGCAAGTTCTAAACCTTTTGGGATTTTTACATTCCTGGTCTTTTTTTCTTTGTAGCTATTGAGGCAGAGGTAGAGAAAACTGGAATCTTCCTTAGAAATGGGATGGGAAAAAGTAATTGCTGTTAATTACAGTATTAATGGTGTGTAGTGCATCCAGCTCTCTGTGTTTCTGAGGTCTGGCTGAGCTAGATTTCCCCTGACATAGTCATGCCCTAAGATTAATTTTTGGGCTCTTTAGGAAACTCTGTGAGCCAAATTATTCCTAGTAATTCCCAAAATTTAACAGCTGTCTTAGATAACCTCTAAGACTGCACTGGTCTCAGCAAGTATTACTTGTCAATAACTGTCTGTGATTAAAGTTATAGAGATAGGAGGAAGACGGTTTGGAAGGTGGGTGGGAAGTCTCACTATGTTCCTAAATCTGTATATATAAAATACATGATACTTACATAACTTAAGTAAAATTTAAAAAATAAAGTTATAGAGACAATATTGCCGATCATTATGTAATTTCAGACCATATGCCTTTACATTTGAAGACTTTAAAATGAAAACACTTGATTTCTTCGTTTGGCCAAGTGATCTTTCTTTCTCCCTTTTTAAATTTGTAAGTGCCCTTTTTAAAATAACACTCATATTTTGTAGTTTTGGTGTTGCAGCAGTGAGGATTTTAGAAACATAAAAGTAGTTTAAGAAATTGTAAAGGACAATGAGATGTATCCATGTTGAAATTAAACTCTGTATGTCAAAGAAAATCATAATAAACAAAATTAAAAGGGAAATAGAAAATTAGAAAATATTCTTCACAATTCTGACAAAAGGTCCATAATAGATAGAACAACTAGAAAAATAAGATTAAGATTTCAGTCCAAAAACAGAAGGCATAACATTGATTCATAGAAGAAAAAATAAAATAGCTAAAATAAATATATTTAAAATATTTGCAGAACAGAAGGAAAAGAAATACAAATTTAAAAGTAGTGATCATGTGTCTTTGTCTACCAAATTAACAATTAATAAAAAGTGTACCTACCTCTTGCTATAGGGTGGGAAGCCTGGCTTGGTAGACATTTTCAGTATTTGCTTCTCTCCTTTAGGATAGCATATTGATAGTATTTACCAAAAGTGTTAGATAAATATTTCCTTCAATTCAGGAACTGCACTTTTTGAAATTTCTCCTGATGAAATGAGCATATGCATTTGATCTATGTACAGTGGTCATCATGACATCATTTGTAAGTGGTTGCTAAGTCAGAAATAATCTAGATGTCCAGCTGATTGGGAATAAATAAAATATTGTGTTCGGGAAGTTAGGGAAGTGTGGTTGTCTGCTTGGAACTCTACCTGTGGAATGCATAAAATCTGTTCTTTTTATATTAGTAAAAAATTAAGAAACTAAACAAATTAATATGTGCAATTGTGTATAGACAATTATATAGTCAAATTCTTTTGAGGGAAGATGTTTGAATTTCATGAGAAGAAAAGCTTATGATAAGATATTAAGGAAGAAAAACTCTAGAAAATTAGTATAAATGGTGTCTTAAAAATCACAAATTTAAAGAGTAAAAGAAAAACATGTTAACATTATCTCTAAGTCATAAGATGAAAATATAGCTCTGTATTTTCCAAGTTTGTTTTGTAAAGATAACATAATAATTTTATAATCAGACAAATATTGGTAAAAGTAAAGTCATTAACTCCTGATCACTTGATTTGTGGAGTAGAGGGTGTTGTAGGGAAATCTATTCTTAGATTTTACTTTTTTTGGGGGGTAATTAAGTTTTTATTTGGGGTCATTTGAGATTTGCAGAAAAGCTACTAAGGTTATGCAGAGATAGTCCTATATACCCCTCCCCTAGTTCCTCCTGACATTTGCATCTTCTAAGACCATGGAAAGTTTGTCAGAACTATGAAATTAATATTGGTACATTACTATTCATTAAACTATGGACTTCATTCACCAGTTTTTGCAATAATATCCATTTTGTATTGCAAGATTCAATTCAGAATGTCACTATACATTTAGAATGGTATATAGATTACTTTTACTGCATATTCTTATCTTGTTCTCTCATAGCCAGAAGTCTCCAGTAGCATCCAAGCTTCTGGAAAGCTGCAATATTTCCTCACCTGCCATCAGCTCATCATGTTGGTACCAACTGGTGTCTACACTCATCTACCCACTGAAGCTGTTCTTGCTTAGCTCTTAGTCCCTCACCATAGTCATTAAAATAGGTTTGATTGAATGGAAACAGGGACCTCCTAACTCAATGCCATTTTCATGCTCATGTTTTTCTTCCTTTTGAAATTTCAGATGTTAAAACTGAACTCATCTTTGTTCTGCACTGTACTGTCTGCCTTGCCTGTAGTGCCTCACTTGAAGTGTTGTTCTCAACCCGTAGGCAAACTGGAATCCCAGAAATGGCATCCCTCTCTCATCTGCCCAACTCCACAGCACAGGGATCACCTTTGCTCAGCTTGTCCTTTATGATAGCTCTCAGATAATGTCTCCCCAGATGACAGAGTTCCTTATCACTTTTCATTTATCTTCAGTCTTTCCATACCCTCTCTTTCTCAACTGGAATGAATATGAAATTCTATTAGTAGAGTGTATCATGTCCTTTTTCATATCCTGCATTTGCCTGGATCCTGCTACCAAGCCCCGCCCCACACCCCTAACTTGCCTTACAGTTATCCAGAGCACTCAGTTTAGAATGTGTGGTCTGAATAATCATTTT